ATTCTCCCCGCGAATCCGAGTGAGCTACGTGCCCACACCCAACGAATCGGGCCCGGCGGCCGTCCCACCGCGCGGAATCGCGGCTGGAGACGGCGAACTGCCCGGCGGAACGGGGGATCGAGGGGGTGATGCCGCGCCGAGGGAGAGGAGGCGGCGGAGGAGGGGAGGGGAGGGGAAAGGCGAGTGGAGGAGCCTCTGGGCTGGGGGCGAGATGGACTGGTGGTGATGGCGCAGTCTGTGCCGCGGTACTGTTTCCGCCGCGCTGGTGCTTTGCCCCCATTTCGTGCCGTGTGGAAATCGGAGCGATTACTGCTCTGACCAGCGACAACTGCTTTCCTTCGCTGTTTCCCCTGGTTTTCCGCTTCTTTATTTTCTCGCTTTCTCAGCCGGATCCCCCTCCCCGTCCGCCGTGTTCTATTTCTACGAGAGCAAACACGCGTTTTATCCGCTTTTCATTAGTTTGGGTTTGACTCGTACATCTCCGTGTGCCAAACCGACCGACCCAGTTCTCATCCACGCAGAAAACAATCTGAATTTAAATAAGGCTCGTGGCCAGACATCATTCGAGCGGCCATGCCATTGCCTAGGGTTCATGCCGACGCTATGCCAACCTAAAAAGACACGCAGTTCATGTTGTCGCACTTGTCAGCGGCCGACGCACATGCCAACACACAAAAAGGGGCGGGAATTCAACCACGTCATCTCGTCCGTGGTCATGCCGGCACACTTGACGGTATACAAAAAAAGATGACGCTCTTCCTCATAGATCAATCATCAAGCTTGGAGTAAATTGCACAGAAGTACCACGATTGGGGCATTGGAAGCAGATTGGTACCAAGATTGGTAATTTTTACGTGTCAGTACGAAGATTGGGGTGAGCCGTTGCAAAAAAGACTAAAAGTGTGTTTTATACGTATTGACAGAAAAGCTGACCGGTTGGGCCCGCCCGTCAGGCGCCACGCTGGCCAGTGCACGCGTGCCCGCGCGCTGACTGGGCGCTGACTGGGACGAGGCCAGCTCGCTTTTAGGGCGCGGCTGGTGCGGTCGAGCCACACCCCGCTCATTCCCCCCGCTCTGTTCTGCGTTCTTTTTCCTTCTCTCTGCCTCGCCGCCGCCTGCGCCCGCCCCCGCCGGCCGCCACACGACGCTGCCGCAGCCATGGTTTTTGAAGACGAGAGCAGCGACGAGAACTCAAGCCTCCCGTACATGCACTCCGAAACCTCCACCGATGGGCTCAACCAGGTCAGTTACTCCATTGGAGCTAGGGTTAGGGCTAGGTTTAGGAAAATTTGGGGATTTTTCTGTGTAGGTGGTCTTTGGTGTGAGGATTTCGTTTGATTTGCTTTGTCCTCGTCCTCTGCACATGATGCTAACTTGGATTTTGCTTGGGCAGGTGCCTTTCTCTCTTCAGGACCCGGATTACAATGGTCTTGAGCTAGATCTGATAGTGTTGTGCGAGAAGCATGGGAAGCCATCAGAGAGGCTTGTTGCATTTGAAGGAACAATGATTGGGAGAAGGTTCTTAGCATGTGCAGAGCCGGTATTTTTCTTGCCTTATTGATTATGCACAGGATATGTTCATTGGAAGTGACAGAGTCTTGTTTGCCAATTGTGATTCAGTTATGTGATTGGTAATTTTGTTAGTCATATATGCCATACTGTAGTGCTCATTGTAGGAATGGTGAATATTATGGTCAGTGGAGTGCATTTAGGCTAAATATAGGCTCAAGCATGCTCTGTTGTGTGCACATGAATGCTCTGTTGTGTGCACATGCTATTTATTTATACTTGTATGCAATGTTGCTTAGTACTCACATTATCCCCTCCATTAGCTGATGTGTGACTCTTAATAAGTAACTGTTGCTTACTGCTGACAGTAGGTACTGTCATTAGCTAGTTTATTCCTGCAGGCTAATGTAGTGTATTTAGCTAGGCTAATGTAGGATTCCATTATATTAATGGTCAATTATAAGTTGGTTATTATGCAAAGTTGAATGGAGTGTTACTCTGCTAATTATATACTGATCACCATCTTGCTTAGCACATGGTTGTGCAAATTCAGTGTTGGTCAGTACCAACATTAGCTACTGGCATGAACTAATTGTTGCTTAGTACTATTAGTAGTTGTATTGTACTAAATTTTGCCTTGTTATTTTTCCAGGAAGGTCAGAATTGTGGGTTTGTTCAGTGGGTTGATGAGAAGTGGCCCCCAACAATGGAGAATGCATTACTGAAGCTTTGGTCAATAGTTGAAGAGAGCGAGTCTGCTAGGGTGGATGATAATCTTCAAAGTTCTTTAACTATTCACCATTTGACAGAAGAAAAGAAGAAGCTGGATGCAGAATATGACAAGTTAGTGAAAGATGTGCATCAACTTGTGGACTTTCAGCAGGATAGGGTTGTGGATTTCAGTTATCTGCAGTCAGCTGTCACATATTAGCACCAATGCAGAGCTGAATTGGTGGCTGGTATGAATGCAGAAATGGCAAAGAAAGATGCAGCTCTAGAGAAGCTTCAACAGAAGTATGAAATCATGTGCAACCTGACAAGTGCTCAAGCAATTGCCATCCAAAACCTCAAGTTGAAGAATATGAAAGAGAAGGAATTGATGGGTGAGGCTAGGATGAATTTGGAGTTGAAGAATGCAAAGTTCACAAAGTTTGAGGAGAAGCTCACCCAAGAGAAGCTAGAGTTGAAGTTCCAGGTTGCTGATCTGCTGAAGCTCAAGGAAAACCATAATGAAGAGAAGCAGATGCAAGAGTTTAAGATTACTGAGCTCATGAAGGCAGAGGAGAAGCTGAAGGAGAAGATCAAGGGGATCCAGGCCATCTTGGAGAACTGAACAAGATGAATTGAGATTAGTGGGCATTGCAGACCTTTTGGGAAGGATGGATGTGCAATGGCCTAGTAACTTATAATTATGGTTGTGTAATGTATGGTTCTAGAATTAATTGTGAACTCTGGCTGTTTATGTACCTAGTAATATGCTATTCATCCTTTTGTGAGAAAAGGATGGATTGTGCATTTGAACTCCACTATGTAATGTGAACAATGGTTGTGTATTCCTATAATGTGTTGAACTCCAGTTAGTATCATTTGCTTTCAATGTTAGACTGAAAATGATGACATAGTGATGCTTATGTTAGACTGAAAATGTTGACATACTGATGCTTATGTTATACTGATGGTTAAATGCATTTGAGGAATAGTTACATATGTTAGAGTGATGCTTAAATGCTTAAATGCATTTGCAAAAGGAATAGTTTGTTATGGTACAGTGATGCTTTAGGTGGTTCCGTCGACCCCGAGCCACCAAAACCCAAAATGATCGCTTTAGGTGGTTTCGTCGACCCCGAGCCACCCTAGACCCTAGTTGATGGCTTTAGGTGGTTCCGTCGACCCCGAACCACCAAAACCCAAAATGATGGCTTTAGGTGGTTTCGTCGACCCCGAGCCACCCTAGACCCAAAATGATGGC